CCTTTCAAAGACGTTTACACTTTCGAGTGCTCGCATTAAAACTCCCAAAGGCACCCCGTCAATTTTGCAAGACTACATCTGCAGATGAAACTCATCTGCCGATTGAGATAATAATCCTGACAAACTGTGATCTACTGCTGTTTTTTGAACAGCGCGCACCTACTTTTCAAAGTAGCCGCTCTGCCGCCTGCATCTGAACTGCACAATATCACGCAAACAGAGCGGAAGCAACCTGGGGAAGGACGATCGGGGAGGGATATCGGAAGCAGGCTTATGGATCCGGAAGGATCATCGTCGCGGCGATGCACTCGACTCGCTCCCTTTGGCCCGCTTTTGCCGCCTCCCTCCGGCCTCGTCCTTGGTGCCCGATGGGGCGTGGCGGCCGGGGTGGGGCGCGTGGCGCGGGTCGGGACGGGGCGTGGCGGGGCGTTGTCGCCGGCCTGTCTAACGGCAGGAAGCCACGCGCACGGCGCGTTCATCACCGCCTCATTGCATCACGGGGCCGGGCGGGGCTCGGGAGAGAATGCAACAGTGTGGAGTTCAAAAACCGCAGCGCCCGTTTCTTCTTGTGTCGTTTTTCTGCACGTTTTGTTTGTTTTGTCATGCACATGTGTAGTGACTGCTTGCCCATAGAGGATTGTGCCGTAAGAGATGCAACCATTAAGTTCGTCCGTCCTTCGCAGTTTCCAACTGGCCAGAGTTCAGCCTTTAAGCAAGCTCTCATAGCGCCTAGTGGGTAGGCAACATCTCTCCTGCAATGCATGCGTGCATTGCGGGGAGGCCTATCCCGAACATCGCAGGCGCTAAACCCCCCTAATTTATCAGAATGGATCCGAAAAAAAACCCGGCGTACGTCGTGTCGTACGTTCCGGACGATTCCCAAGGCGCCATACAACTTATCAAATGTATGCCTCAAAGTTTTTCGGGCCTCCCTGTACCACTTGCAGTATCCGGGTTGGGGGCGGCGGCGCACGGGAGGAAAGCGTGACACGGGACGCCACAGTGTGCGGCACAGTGCGCAGCGGGGTGGGCGGCGGGGGATTAATAATACCGACTATACAGTGAAGGGGCCCCGGGGGCAAGGCGGCGGCAGTGTCGCAACGGGATTCACATTCACACAGAAGAGCAGTGCCCCATTGGGACCGCCGCCCGCGCCGCCTTAAGGGACCCGCTCCTCTCTAGTGCGCTGCTGCTGCTGGCGACAGCGTCTGCCCTGTTCGGCGAGTGTGTCCACTCTCTCACGAATACTCCCTATGCCCTCCTACACAGGGCAGTGTCCCCATTCATAAGTTTGGACTTTAACGCGGCGCTTGTTTGGATTCATCATCGCTATGCCGCGGACTTCTGGGGTGTCTGTTTCATGGCAACCTTAGATTGTGGGGTACTTTTTAATTTTGCCGGTGTTTTGTTCCGATTACTTTTCTCGTTACGCAGAGAGGGAGGGCGGGAGGATGCCGGGACGGGTGCGGTGTCGAGTACCGCGGCGGGGGAAAGTGTTCTGCGGCGCTGCGGCTGTCCTGGGCGTCGCGGGCGCCGGATGTGCCCCGGCCCAGTGCGCACTTGCCCATGCTGCACCCCGGGCCCGCACGGGGAATGGCAAATCACGTATTACAGCGAGGAGATACCGGGCCGGAGAAGTTCTCCTACGTGCCGGCCAAGCATGTGCATCCAACTCGTTTCGTTTCCTGATGTTGGTGCGGTGTGATTTAAATATCCCGCGCAATTGATTGCGACCCGCACCTGTGCCACGACCACAGTGAGTTTTGCATCCGACCCTTGGTCCCCTTCCTCCTGCGCCTCGGCGGGCGGGGGCCGGCTTGTGTCACGGCTCGGTAATGGTCCATGGCTGCAAGGGCTGGGCGGGGGGCGGGGTAACGACGCCTTTGCCCCGTCTCTTGTCGCGGTACTGGGTGGGTTACGAGACCCGCCGTCGTGTGGCTCACTTCCTGGGTGACGGCAACAAAGGGGCGCCTGGGAGGTAGGCAGGTCTGTCG